CAGCATTATTCTGCTCTTCCTCAAGTTCTTCCTCCAGTTGGGCTAACTTTTGTTCCAATCGGCGTTTCTCCTCGGAAGAGAAGCTCCCTCCCTAAATTTCGGAATGACGCTAACAAGACGTATACAATTATACTAACTGTGTCAAACTTACTCGGCCGCGAAGCTCTTCCAGCTCATCTTTCTCTTGCTCGAGTTGCCTCTTCTGGGACGTGAGCAGCTCATTAGCTTCTGCCAAGCGTTGATTTTCCGCTTCCGCTGACCTAAATTACGGTCATGTAAGTCTACAGTTGCATCAATGCAGTTTTCTTCACTACCTCAATCTGCGTTCTATATCTCTAAGCTGTGAAGCAATTTCTTCCTTCATTTGACGAGCTTCTTCACTGTCATGCTGGTATTCTTTGATCATTTGCTGATTCTTCTTGAGTTGTTTGTTATATTCATCCTAGACACAGAAAGTAAGGCTCAATAAGCAGTTATGCACCTTTGCTAATGCCAAACCTTAAGTCGATTTGCCACATCCAGCTGCTGTTCGATCTCTGCAATATGAGCCTCCATTTTCTTCTTTTGACTGATTGCTCCAGCTTTGCTCCGGCGCTCGTTCTCCAGCTCTTGTTCACATTCTCGCAACTGCTTTACCAGACTTCTGCGCTTATCCTCGGCTTCCTATAATAGATGAACATGGAAAAGCATGCACTGGCTCAAAATTACTCTTGTGCGCGTTGGTTCATTTTCTGAGAAAGAGCGAAAACTTGGTAGCACAAAACTAACACCAACCTGATCTTTCGCGCTAAGATTGCGATCTTGTTCAGCACGGAGGGCCTGGATATTAACTTCAAGTCGGAGCCTAAAAATATTTGATTGCCAAAAACAACACCATTTTTGGCAGTTTCAACACTCGAATCCTGTTTATAGGAAACTTTCATATCCTCTACAATGACATAATAAACTGACCTAGCATCTTCAGCAAATCCTAGTTGATCTTCCAGTTCTTCGATGGTTGCTTTTTGCTCTTGGACAGTCTGTTCTAGCAGACGCTTTGCTTTTTCTAGTTCGTGCACACTCTTTCCAACGTCATCTTTCGATGAGATCTGGAACAAATACCATTCATTTTCCAAAAAAAAATCACTAAGTATGTGTTTGCGTACCGACTCATCCAGCTCAAGCTGGAGCGTGCGGCGAGCTCTTTCAGTTTCGTCAATGGATGCCTTCATTTGCTCGAGTTCATTTACCAAGGATAGAATTCGAGTTTCACGGTCACGGGACTCCTGTGCGTGCGCATCTCTTTCAAGAATTGCCTAAAATTCGTCATATTGATGTGCCATCGACTCTACAGTAGATCAGTACTTTTTGGACGTTAGCGCGCTCCTCGGCCAGCTGCATATCAAACTTCTTCTGTCTCTTCTCCATTTCTCTTGAAGCTGTGCGAATGTTCTCAAGCTCAATGTTAGCATCTTCTAGCTTAAATGACCACAGATGATATACACCAGATTTCTTCGACAATCTCCATTAAAATCAAACCTCCTGCTGAAGCTTCTTCTTGCTTTGGATCAGTCGTTCCTTGCTGGCTTCACTTTCTTCAAGTTGGTGTTGAGTATTTTCAAGATCGCGCTGTGCCTAAACAGTAATACTAAACCATAATAATACAAATTGCCTGAAATTACTTTTTTACGCTTTATTTTACGTAAGACTCTTCTCAAACGTACGACAGCACCCGAACAGCACATACCGACACAACATCAATAAATCTTCCGGAAAGCTTTTTGCTGGTGGATTATTTGAGTGCATTGTCTCTTGCACGAAAAAAATAATCGGCGATTTACAATCACTTTGTTTTTGCAGTGAAGTTCAAACTACAGCACTGGGCGTGACTAGCTACTGAATACGAGTTTGCACTTTCGAGAACGCCTATCGTTTTTTGCATACTGATACA